ACTGCCCTGCTGCAGTTGGTCTAACAGAAGAGGCCTTAGTTCTATTGGCGTCCCAATGGCCAGCTGGAGCTAGTCGCCAAGGGACTCACTTCTATGGGGTCCCATTTCCCAGCTGGGTTTCTTACCCCTCCTCTGCAGCAGGAGCCTCTGCAGCCAACATATCCCACTCCTGGCTTGCTGGCTGATGTCGTTGGCTGGGTCCGAGATGTACAGACCCAGCTGCAACACAAAGTTGCCCGCCTTAGGGAAATCAGAGGAGGTCTGGTGGGAGGAGAAGAGGGGACTCCATCAACATTCTCTCTTCAGCTCCCCAGCTCCTCTGGGCCAGAGCTCTTCTCCCATCCATCTGTAGGAGGTGCTGAGGGAGACGAACTAGAGCCCTCTTTCTCTCTGACCCCAAAGGAGCTTCAAGCAAAGGGACGAGGGCAAGGGCCCTCTATGAGCACTCGCTGCCAGGCTGCTCCAGAATAAAAAGGGCCCTGAGGCCAGGCACGACCCTGGCAGCCCGTGGCCTGTGGAACGCAGTCCCTCACGGACCCAGGGCAGACCAATTAGCCAGGGGATGAGGAACTTGACTCAAGTCCTGACTCCGCAGGATGCTGGGGTCAAAGGTCACTTACGTCAAATCCAGGCAGGGAGGTGGCGAATTGGACCACGCCAGCGCTGCACCGTATGGCTCTGACTCTCTCCTGGGTGTTTTCGGACTAGACCAGGCCAGCGCTGCACCGTATGGCTCTGACTCTCTCCTGGGTGTTTTCGGACTGGAGCCAGAAATGGACGTGCTGCGGGAGAAGGAGGCAGGGGAGGGTCAGCGGGCAGGCGTACATGCTCTACAAACGAGCCTCTCTCCCTCCCATGGGGCTGAGACCTTGTGCTCAGGGGGGAATAGCTGACTCCTCATGTGGGGGTTCATGACACTGCCCACGTCTTGCTGGGCACAAGCTCATTGTCTCTCCAGGCTGGGACAATGTTCGGTCTTGGGACTGGTCTATTTGCTCTGAACTCCTGATCCGTGAACAGCACGTCAGGATCAAGGCACATGCACTGGACCCCAGACCCCGGCTGCAAAGGCCTTGGTAGGATGGATGGAGCGGCCGTGAGGACAATGCCTCCGGGAACTGCAGTGTCCCTAGGACAGAAGAGCTGATTCCCTGAGGCTCCTCCTGTATCTCAGGGTCTCCTTAGAAAGGAGCCAGAGACTTTTCTCAGAGGCCCATGTCCTGCATCTCACAGGGGTTTCAGTCTCTTAGTCCCCAGCCAGGCCTGGTGCTCACTGTTAGTGCGTAATGCTGTCATGCAGAGCTCTGGCTGACACTCCCAGCTCCTTCCCCTGCTCCCCCGCGCCCCCGCCCCGTGAGGCGTAAGGGTCCCAACATGGCACTGCACTGACAGCTCTGGGAACGTGTGGCCGCTTGGGTCCAAGCTGGGAGGACACAATGGAAACGTGACTCTTCTAGTCTCTCCTTTGCAGCCCTCCCACAGGGTTCAGGGGAAATTCCGCCCCAGACCCTCCCATTCTACTCACCTCCAAGAGGTGCTGCAGCTTGTCTGTGGTGGGGGTCTCGGTGAGCAGGCAACTGAGCATGGTGTCCAGGCCCTGTAAATAGGTGTTGTACAGAGCCTGCAAGAAGACGGAGCACCCGTCAGTCATGGGACATGGGGCTACACCAGTCACGGGACCAGGGAGGATCACAGGGGAGGCCTGGCCAGACCCAAAAGGCACATCCTGGCCTCTGCCATTCCCATCACTCCGGGGACACTTAGCAAGAGTTCAGGGCCGGATGCGTGCTGCCTCTTCAATCCTTGCTCTTAGCAGTTCTCTGCGCAGGGCCTGGTACCCACAGACTATGGAACAGCCAAACCGCAATGGGTGGGAGGTAGGATCCCCGGGAGAGTCCAGGCAGCAGAGCAGAGAATGAGGAGAGGGAAGGCTGGGTTCAGCCACAGAGGGGTAACACAATCCCCCCTGGAGGGAAGGGGCCCTCCCTGAGAGTTTGTGTCGTCCCCCCCTCCACCCTGCCTGGGCCTGTTCCCAGCTCTGCTCTCCCCTATTCTCAGCAGCTCCAACAAACCGAGGGAGCAGGGACCAGAGGCGGCTCCTGCTCCTGGGACAGAGAAGTAGGATCATGACCTACCTGGAAGTGGATGGCATCCTGCCCAGTGCCCATGGCAAATACGCTATAAAGAAGAGCCCACAGGAGGCGTGACTCCAGCTCCAGGGCAAGCGGCGGCTTCAGTTTGCTGGCAGGAGAGAGGAGCCCGTGTTATACTTGGCAGCACCGGAGTGGCGCTAGCACTGACAGGGACATGACCCCCCCTCCCCCACAGTGATCCCCTCCCTACGGCCACTCGAACATTATGGGAGTGAAATCACCCCCCAGCCAGGAAAGAGGAGAAGTTCCCACCTCCTCTGCTGGGGGACGCGAACAGCCACAGCTGGGGGTAATCTAGGCCAGAGAGGATCTGGGACTCCCGGCTCTGGACCCGATCAGCACCAGGGTTAGGGCAGCAGGATGGGAGGGTTCTGGTACCTGAGGCTGCAAACCGCGGCCATGGAGCTGGAGATGACGGAGGTTGCCTCTGGCACCAGGGGCAGATTTTCAATCAGCTCCTGAGAGACCCCAAGAAGATAAAATCGCATGTGAGACTCAGGCCCCGCAGACCCACAGGCGCTTCCCAGGGAGGAGACCAAAGTGCTCTGCAGAAACAGCCAGTGTCACCCCCCCCAACCCCCAACCAGCTGGGCCCCTCATTCCGCCCATCCGTCAAACTTCCTTCCCCCCATCCCACCCAATTCCTCCCTCCCCTCCCCTCCCCTCTGGGCTTACAATTGCCCCACTGCCAGCTCCCGATCGGTGTCAGAATTTCCCCCTTCCCTGCTCCCCGGCCCTCAGCCCCAGGAACCACTGTCGTCTGCTCCCCATTCCAGCCCCAATAACTCTTCCTCCCATATCTGGGTCCCTCGCCCCAGGGGCCAGGCACGGGGTCCCACTCACCGCAATGCTCTCCACGAGGGCCGCTTTTGAGATGTGCGGCTCCAGGGTGTCCCACCCCTGCTGCTGTGCCAAGAAGCACAGACGTGGGACAGCATGGAGGAAGCGGAGCTGTTTGGCTCTGTCCTCCAGCAACTAGGAGTGGGGTGGGGGAGAGAGAGAGACGGTTAGGTAGGGACCTCCCCACACCACCTAGAGCAGCTCCAGGGCTCAGGAACCCCATGGGGTTGGACAGGGAAAGCCGCCCCGCTTCCCGAAACCAGTGTCGCCCTGCGCAGACTGGGGTTGTAACCGGGACAGTGTCTGCGGGGAGTGGACACCTTGGCCTGCGTGAGACAAATGCCCCCACTTTGGGGTGCCAGGTAACAGGGGAGAAGTGCCCCACATTGGGGGTGAGGGATTCTCTGGGACAAGACCCCCCTGCGTGGGTGGGGATGGAACAAGGGGCAGGACAGATGCGGGGGCAGCGCAGCTGGGGGATTTTTGTACCTCAGCTCTGCCCTGGAGGTGCCCCTGGATGATCCTCCTGGTGTCTTCTTCAGGGGACAAGTCCTCTTCCTCCTCCTCCTCCAGCTGGGCACTGGGGGTCTCTGCACCAGGGAGAGAAGGAGAAAGGATCATTTATGCTGCTGCTGTGGGAATGCAGTGCAGAGAAATGGCTCAATGTCCCCCATCCTCAACAAGGAACCCCATGGCATAGAGGGCCCCCCCCTGCCCCTCCCAGAGACGCCCTCAGCCCCATCAGCCTCAGGGCCCCGTGGCCGTCAGCCCTGCCCCCGGAACATCACCAGGGGAGGCTGGAGCTCCCCCGACTGTGCCCAGCATCTCCTGCCGCAGGGTGGGTGGCTGTGCCACTCCCACTGGAGTCAGTGGGGCTCCCGTGGTTCAGTCCTGGTGCCTTGGTGAGCCAATGGGCACAGGGTGTTACTAGTCCCCCACCGCCCCGTCCTTCCCCCTGTCCCCTGGGTCTCCCCTCACCTGCAAAGAGGGACCCTTCGCCCTCAGGGCTGTCAGACCCCTCGGAGAGGCTGCTGGCCCCTCGGGAGTAGGTGGAGCTCCTGGCCCCCGTGCCAGAGTCGCCCAGCTCCTGCTCTGGGCCGGCTGGGGGCTCCTCCATGGCCGGGCTGGTGGATGGCTCCTGCCGGGCACTGGGGCTGGGCTCCCGGCTCCTCTGCTTCCTGTAAAGCAGAGCCACCTTGCCCGGGTCCCGCCCTCTCCTGGGTCCCTCCGACATAGCATTACCCTGGGCCACCTCCATCTGGGACCAGAAGGTGCCTCAGGGCCTGCTAAGGGAGCTGGTGTTTTCCTCTTCCTCCAGCAGTTCAGGGAGCTCCTCCGGTTTGCCAGGCCACAAGCCTCTTCCCCGCCCGTGGGGACAGAGGGGCCGCTCTCCTCCCGGGCAAGCCGGACGCTGCTCCCTGCTGGCTCCGGAGCCACCTCCCCAGCCTTCCGCCTCAGCATCTGCTTCAGCCGCTTCATTCTGGAACTGAGAGGGGAGCAGCCGTGAGTCTGGGCTCAAGGCAGCCTCTCCTTAACGGGTCTGCCTGCTCCCCTGCCCACCTTCCCTCCGCTGAGGCAACTCCCCCACACCGCACACCCCACCCCAGGGCATGGGGCTGCCGTCCACACACAGTGGCAGCAACTCACAGCACAGGCAGCTCCCAACGTTCCCCCTCACCAATGGGGCCCTGTGATACTGGGAGAGCTCTGGCCCCCGGGCCCTCCGCCCTCCTCCCAGCCCTCCAGCCACCGAGGAGAGCGGAGAGCCCCCGCCAGGCTCGCTGCCATCCTACCAGCGCTCCGGCCACCTGGGAGAGAGGAGAGCCCCGGCCGGGCTCGCCGACCTCCCCGTGGTGGTCCGGCCACCGGGGAGAGCGGAGAGCCCCGGACGGGCTCGCTGCCCTCCTCCCGGCGCTCCGGCTGGTTGGGGAGAGCGGAGAGATCTGGCCACCGGGGGCTCTCCGCCCTCCTCCCGGCGCTCCGGCCGCCGGGGAGAGCGGAGAGCCCCGGCCGGGCTCGCCGCCCTCCCCCCGGCGCTCCACCCAGTTGGGGAGAGCGGAGAGCTCTGGCCGCCGGGGGCACTCCGCCCTCCTCCCGGCGCTCGGGCCGCCGAGGG